TATTATATATTATATATTATATATTATATATTATATATTATATATTAAAGTTTGCTTCTATTAGATTTGAAATTTGAAGTTTTGGTTTTTAAACGCAAATATCAAGTTTATGTAATTACCTGACATTGACACAGCCCATGACTATAGACCAGATGGCCAGCAACTATGTCTTAGTTTTGTACTAAAGGTACTGAACACAGCACCCTTAAATGACACTCTATACTTCAGATTTCTCCTTCCAAAATACTAGAGTTTTATTTAAAAAAGAAAAACAAAGTATGTCAGAGAGCATCAGCAGGGCAAGCCAATAAACAAAATTCTGATTCTTCAGCACTGTCAATGAGCTGTGCAGTGAGAATTTATTCTGAGAGGGACAGACACTGACCAAGAACAGAAACAGATCTGTGGCAGAGCAGATTCCGAACAATAAAGGTGAACCTAGGCCTGCTGTGGGTGAGCAATGACACCGAGACTATCAGCACACACCTTGCAAATAGACAAACAGCAACAGACTGGACCAGAAACCACTGACACATGAGGAGAAATGGACCCACTGTAGAAGCAGAGGCTACTATAACTCAGCCCTCCATAACAGTACTGCAGCAGTCCTCAGCCCTAAGGAAATGACGGCAGTTTACCAGACAGCCAACGAAAGAAAGGCGCTAGGCACAGATGGTTTCATGGAAACTCCATCACACATCTACAGAACTCACATCAGTTCTACACAGGACTTTGAGAAGATGGAGGGGAGATGTGCCGTGTTGTTCCAAGTCAGCACTACGACACCAAAATGGACGTCGTGTGGGGAATGGGGCCTGGGGAAATACAGCCTCCAGTGCACCAATATAAAATGTTTGTGTGCGCAGGACTGGTGAGACGGCTCAGTGGTTAAGAGCGCTGGCTGCTCTTCCAGAGATCCTGAATCCAATTCAATTACACAGGGGATTGGGAATCCCAATCATCTATAAAGGGATCTGACACCCTCTTCTGGCATGCAGGTGTACATGCAGACAGAGTACTCCTACACAAAAATATTTTTCTTTCTTGTTTCTCTTCTGTGGAACTGAGGTTGGAATCCACAGCTTTATGGATTCAGCCATCACTAAGTTGTAGCCCAGCCTAAAATGCAAACTCCCCCACCTGACCCTGATGCACATTTGCTTTTTCTTAGGTAGGCTTGGGATTACAAGCAATTACAGACATGCAGCACTGTGCTTGGCTTAAAAAGCAAAAATTCTTAACAAAGTATTTACAATTCTATGGTTCATTCCATAAATGAAAAAAGGCGAGTTCAATATAGAATGAAGCCTATGTAGCGTGTTAAAGGCTAAATAAAGGGAGAACTCCTGTGACCTGCCGGAGCTACTGCTGCACAGGCAACATCTGTAACTGTGCTCCATCTGGATGAGATCAACGACAGCTACTGAAGCTTATAAGTGTCTACACAGGGTAGTTCTTTTACCATCCAACCGGAGTTTAGTGCATCTCAAACTGCGTCTGATAAATGGCTGGGGACTGAAAACCAGAGTCATTGAGCGTGCCTAAGGCAGTGCTTCTATGCTAATTCTGGTACTATGGGTGACACGCCTGCATGCCCTCTCAGAGGAAGGGGAGGGGGTCTTACCATAATTAAACTGACTGTTGGACTTCTCACAGTTGATGATGTTGAACCTGTACGCAACACCTGGCCGCATCCCACTGACTTCAAAGTAGAACCACTGATGGTAATGGTTACTGTTGATATCTGAGTTCAGAATGAGATCATACTCGCTTCTAAAACACAAGACAAAGACATCTGATGGCAAGTCCAGAGTGTCTGTGCTCACACAAAAAGAGAATATGGAAATGGCTTACTTTCTAACTTGAATTACTTTGCGCAGATTCCCAGATTCAAATTTTGAGTTAAACTTCAAAAATTCTCCTTCTTCTGGTAGGGCATAGCTAAATAAATATGTTAAAGTAAACATATTAAAATATATCACACTTAAACAGATAAACAAAGACTAAAACTACAGGCCAGATCAAAAACATACATTGCTTCCCACCTTTCTTTTAAAACAAAGAATATAGCAAATACAACAAAGGAAAAAAATCTGACTTACACTTATACTCAAATTATAATTACAAAAGACTTGTTCTGACATTTACCCATAATAAGAACTTTGCGTTGCTGAACAAATGTCATTTCTAAAACAGTGATTATCACATATAAAAAGAAGAGATTTATTTTTAAAACTGCCTGGTAAGTAGCTGTGAGTCTGGCAAACCATGCAGTTTTTGCCATCAGTAACACAGGAGGTTTGGGCACTTTACCTATCACATTGCTGAGCATCCACATGCCATACCCCGGCACTAGCTCACAAAATGAAAACTCCTGTACTTCTGAAGACTCTATTCTAAAACAAGAACTAGCAAAACTCTAGAAATCTCCGTGATTTTGTCCATAGTCACTTTGGCTAGGAACAAGCTGAGTTATGCCTATCCTCACGGTTTGTTTTTCCAAATCTAACACAGAAGCATGAACGATGAAATATCTACATGTTTAATAAGGTATGTTCTTCCTCCCCTGTGTAAGAATATTTTAAGTCAGGGATGGTGACACATGACTGAGCCAGGAAGATGACTGTAAGTTGAAGGCCAGCCTGGGCTACACAATGAGTTCCACGTCAGCCTAAGCTACAGTGAGAGACCCTGCCATAAACAACAATAAAGAGTCTTTTAAATTCAGTTACCATCTTTGACACAGCTTCTGTCACACATCTACCAACAATCACTTTTAAAGGCATATTTCCTCCAATGAGGATAGGTAAAATGTCCAACTTCCTCAAAGTATTAGCACGCTAAGGGGAGAAGAGACATATAGAAAGCTGACTGGGTTTCTTATTTGAGTAGTTGTAATTTTTATTTATTTACTTCAGTTACATCCTGACACATACCACTAGTGATATTCAAAAATAGCAGATGGCTGGCATGCCGGCCACCAGGCCAGGCTGGGGACTCCAGTGTTGAATCTAGTGCCATGGCAATAAGGGACAGTATTTCTTGTGAAAGCCCCACTCTTTTTAAAAACTACAGCATTAGCTAATAACCTTTAAATTTCACCCAAAAACAAAGGCTTATGCTATTTAAAAAAAAAAAAAACAAAATAGATTTACCATGATCATCATATACCTACCTATTAAAGGATGAAAAGAGCAACAATAAAGAATGGGGAAGATATGATAAAAAGACACATATTTCATCTTTCAGAAATAACACTAATATTTTATTATAAAAACAACTTATGAATAAAAAGGTTTTAGAAATCAGACTCACTTAGGGTTATCTAAGTCATACACCACCCGGTCTATGATATCGTTCTGGTGTATCAGCCTCTCGATATCTTGGGCAATTTTTGTCCTGAAATCACAAAAGACACAGGACAAAATTTACTACTGTCAACCACTGATACAAAAACATACAACTTTCTCCAAAGTAAGTCTGGCATGAAGAGGTATAAAATAATAATTGTGTAAAATAAAAATAATCATTCCCTTACTTGCATACAAAAAAAAAAAAAACCCACAAAATAACCAAAATAAAAATCAGTACCTATCAAAACTTGAGCTTTAAAAGCTAACCACATAAAAGACAGGCACAGTAAAACCTTGTGCAAAGCCGGGAGTAGGAAGGAAGCCAGCCTAGAATGTTTCTCCATAGAACGCAAACAGACTAACCGTTAGTCAAGTTAATTCTGTATGCACAACAGCAGCATTATTAGAGATACAGAGAACCTGAGAATTAAGATATCCCACAAGATTTTAAATCTCGTCTATTCAGGAATTTAGCCCTAGAATCCAACTGGCAATATGCTTGCATGTTCTGCAGCATGCCCTTCCTGTGTGAGGGAGAAGAAAGGTGGGAAGAAGGAAAATCCCAGGCGGAACCAAGGCACCACTGGGACAGAAAATTCAGACTTCAGGGCAGATCCTGATTCCAGCCAACTGGCCACCAAATCCTGACAGCATTAATGGAAAGCCAACTCTCAAATCTCTTTTAAAATTTTTATTTTTAAATCATGCATGCGTGTATGTGTGTAGTGCCTCCCAAAGGCCGTGGTTAGAAGGCTTTATCTACATTGTGTACTACCATTCAGAGGCTAGAGAACCATTTGGAAGTCAGGCTTAGAGGAAGGAATTTAGGTCCCTGGGGAAAAACACCTACAGAGGACACCGAGAAGTGCACCCTTCCTCCCTGCCGACTTCTAACTCTCCTTCCCAGTCACCTTTGGTAAGTGGCTTGGCTCTGCCTTATTAAAAGCCCCACCGCTGTCAATCACCACAGACTCCAGCCTCTGAAAACACACCAGGATAAGCCTTTTCTCCATATTGGTTGTTACTCACAGATGTCTGTCAGTAACAGAAAGCTGTGATACCAATAGAACCTTAAGTTCTACATATACAAAGAACTTGTCCTAAATGAAGACCTGGTCATTGTAAAGAAAATATTCAAAGGTGTGACAGTTAAACAGAAAAAGATAAACTAAAACATGAGAAAAATGTTAGGTAAAATTGTCTTAATCTACTCCATAGTTAAACACAATTTACTTTTCAGTTTATTCCATAGAAAAATAACCTAATACAAGTGAAATAGTCTCTAAAAGGGGCAGTCTTTCTGTGGCTGGAATGAAGCAGCTTAAGAAAGGGGTTACTGAGGCTCACAGTTCAGGGTTACCATCACTGGGGCAGGAAAAGCAGGGTAGCAGGAAGGTGAGGAGGCTGGCACAGCAGCAGGGGGATGGGCGCTGTGCTCAGCTGCTTTCTCCTTTCATTCAGCCCAGCACTAGACCTTGGAGTGGTGTGGCCCATAGCTAAGGGGAGTCTCCCCACCTCAGCTAACCTAACCTCATCTTCACAGATATGCCCAGAGGCTAACAATGTAAGTGTCCCTCACAGGAAAGCCCAAAAGCTAACCAAACCTAGATAATGCCTCCCAGGCAAACTAACTCCTAAGTGAGTCTACTTGTCTTGGGGCAGGGGTTAGTGTGGCTGCAGAGGTGAGTGCACATGTGTGTTTGTGCTTACATTTGCACATGTACGCGAGTGCCCATGCACATGTACCTGAGTGTGTATGTCAGTCCCAAGGCTGACAACGGGACTCTTCCTTGATGTCCTCCCACCTCATTCACTGAGACAAGGTCTCTCAGGAACCCACAGCTCAGCAGTACCACTAGTCTAGCTGGACAGTTTACTCTAGGGCTCTATCTTGTCCTTCTAAGTACTGGAATTGCAAGCTGGCCACCACACCCACTCAAATATTGTTACTTGACCACACCTAGTTTCAAACATTAAGTTAGTTGGTTGGTTGGTTGGTTTTTGGTGATCCATTTAGTTTAACAGGGACCATCATGTAACTACTGGAGTGGAAGTGTCCCAGAGAGCCTGGGGGGTCAGTAGTGCAAACACTGAGGGCAATGATGGCCCCCTCTCTAAATATCAGTAGCAGATAGCTCAGATGTGTCTTGCCCAGATAACATCTGGAAGTCCTGTTTCCTACCTTCTAAGCTCACATTATTTCTGCCCCCCTTTCCACAATGTCTCCTGAGCCTGGAGAAGGAACGGGAGGACAACAAGGCTTCATAGGACAAGGGAAAGAGTATGCATGAGGAGAACTCACAACTGTTTATTGCATTGCCAGCTAAAATGAAATAAAGCCTCTGTACTGGCTGGTTTTGTGTCAGCTTGACACAAGCTAGAAACATCAGAGGAAGAAGTCTCACTTGAAGAAATGCTTCCTTGAGATCCAGCTATATAAGGCATTTTCTCAATTAGTGATCAGTGGAGGAGGGTCCAGCCTATTGTGGGTGGTGCCATCCCTGGGCTGGTGGTCCTGGGTTCTATAAGAAGGTAAGCTGAAGCAAGCCTTGAGGAGCAAGCCAGTAAGCAGCACCACTACATGGCCTCTGCCTCAGCTCCTGCCTCCAAATTCCTGCCCAGTTTGAGCTCCTGTCCTGATTCCCTTCCATGATGAACAGTAGCAGGCAAGTGTAAGCTAAAAAAAAACCCTTTCTTTGGTCACACTGTTTTGTCACAGCAATAGAAATCTTAACTAAGACACGCTCCAGATACAATTTTACTGTTACTTTATCATCTATATTGAGCAGATATGAATCTTTTTGTTTTGATTTTGATTTTGGTTTTCGAGACAGGGTTTCTCTGTGTAGTGTTGGTTGTCCTAGAACTCACTCTGTAGACCAGGCTTTCCTCAAACTTAAAGAGATCTGCCTGCCTCTTCTTCCCAAGTGCTGGGATTAAAGGTGTGTGTCACTACCACCCAGCACACAGGAATCTTATAACAGACCTTTTCATTTGCAATTGAGTCAGAGACATTTCAACAGAATTTATTTATTCTATACTGAATTTTGTTTTTCAAAATATTAGGATCAGTAACTACACACTATAAAAACAACCATACAACAGAATTCCAAATAACACTAACAGCATTCCTCAGGATAATTTTTTAAGCACGGGTCTCACTGTGCTGTCCAGACTCAGCCTGGCTCAGCCTCTCAAGGGGCTGGGTCCACAGGTGTGTACCAACATGTCCAGCTTACTAAGTAATCTCAAAGGTCTGTTTCCTTTTTCTGAAAGTGACAAAACAATAAAGTCTCACTGATTTGACAGCTATCTGTATTGTTACTAGATTCAGATAGGAAATGACACTGGCACATCATTCACAAACCGCCCATCATTTGGACAAAACTAGCTGAAAAGAGACAAGACAACTCACATGAACAAGCTAAAGCCAACCCCCTCAAAGTATCTCAAGAGATTAGTATTTTTGGGAACTTTGAGAGCTTTGACATGAATGTGAAACTTTGAAGCCGGAGGACTACCCAGCTATCAAGGTCAGCAAACACTCTTATAAACGAAAGGACAGTGCATACTCTGGGCTTTGAAAGACAGGATTTCTGTCACAATTCTGTCACTGCAGGAGGAAAATCAGTAAGCTGTCAAATGAGGGGTGAAGTGGTACCAGGTGCTGCAGGTAAAATGCACAGCTGTGGCTTGAAGAGGCGTGTACTTAGGATGCTCAGAGGCTAGCTGTAAGGCTCCTCTTCAGAATGCAACAAGAGTGTATCAAAACTGATGAGACATCATTTTAAAAGGTCATCAAAAACAGTTCACACAGACTAAGCAGATTTTACACAGTTGTTTTTTTGTTTTTTGTTTTTTTTTCTTTTTACGTGCTGAGTATGCAATGGCTGGCACTACCAACAAATTCTATGTTTATTTTTTGGTGTAATAAATATTACCTCACTTAGTGCCTTTACAAATAACCAATTTTCACTCTGTATTTCCACCTAAATTTTCAAACAAAATAATACATCCTTAATACTTCATTTACAGCCTACTTTAAAAATCACATCTAAAGCAAGTATGAATGAAAAATTACTAAATATCACTAAGATCATACTTATTCAAACATCATTAAATGATCCTTCATATTTTTAGGTGCAATCTAAGCCAAGTTTCTACATTGTATCAGGATCATATTGTTGTTCTTTCATTTATATAAGTAATATGCTTACAAAATAAAGTGATTTTATTTTGTAATTCCATTAGTAAATCATCATGTGCCCTTTGCACTTGTTGAGAACTGACAGAGAAAAAGGATAAACAGGGCCTTGCCTCAGACTCAAGCATGTTTATCTCAGGTGTCCTCAGAGATCCCTGTTGCAAGCCAATGCCCTGGCCCTGAGACAAGGGGAAAGGACTTTAGCAAACAGCTCAAGTGTAGTAAAAACTGCACCCTTGAGAATAGCTGTTCAGAACAGTCCAAACAGGTCACCTCAACTGCTTCTCCCAGACTATGAAATGTGTGAGGTGACCGGAAGGAGGACACTGCCCAAGACAGTAAGTTGGTCCTACAGCTCACTGTTTCAATAGGCCTTCTCTGGCTTGTTGGAGGCTGGGAGATGGATGGTGAGGTAGGTAGATCTGCCAGGCCCAAAGTAAATAAGACAATTATAATCTAAGAGGTGTTTGTGTCTTATTACTTATGATAGTGGGTTAAATAATACTGCCATGATAATATTAGGGCAAATAATAAAAATTTTATAGCCTAACAGCCATTTTTTAATTTACTACAACACTGGCCATTTCTATTGGATGCTTGAAGTTCCTGATCTGTTGCTGTTATCTGCCATCTGCTATGTTTCTTTTCCTTTTCTTGCTAGACCTGAATAAACTCAAAGCCAAATTATAGCAATCATAGATTGTAACACAGACACAACAGTAAAGTTCAAAGCAACACAAAGCATCCTAACAAATATATCTTTAACTCACAGTAATCTTTTCCTAGAGACTGAAAATGGAATTTCTAAGTATGCTTTACATTTGGCAATGGTCTTACTTAAGAGGAGGAAGAAATCTGCAACTCACCTTTGTACACCGTAAGGCCTTTCTACAATAGGCTCTTTGAAGGGAGGAGGAATGTGACCAAAATAATCAGGATAAGCCACTTCTGAATACTCTGGAACAGACTTGGTATTTTTCACAACCTCAATATACAGTTCTGGGTCATGGAGAGTTGATCCATTGGCACCTTCAACCACAGAAACCTGTTCTATTGAGGAGCTGGACTCAGTATCTTCATCATCTTCCGTCTCAACTCCAGTACAACATAGCTTCCCAAGCTGTACTGTCCGCCCCTCAAAAAGAATACTTCCACACGTAGCCGCATGTGCACACACTTTTGTGCAGGAGAGGACCGTGAGAGGGAGACCATACTCCTTCCTCAGCCCCACCGCTTGTGAAGGGAGACTCTGCAGGGTGATGCGGTCCAAGGCCTTCACAAGGTCGTTGTGGGCTGGAGAGGCAGCTGTGTTCTGAGCACCGAGCTGCGGCGGCAGTGTCCTGCTGCTGCCCTTGCCATCTTCCCTGGAGTCCTCTCCTTTCTCCTTCATGACCGTGCCTTTCCTTACACTACCTGAATTCCCAGATGCTTCGTCTCCAGCTGTGGGAACAACAATGGGACCTCGCACTTTCCCCTCAAACACAAAAGGTTTGGGTTCTTTAGAGATTAAGTCATAGTCCTGTTTAAAAAATAATAATAATAAGTTTAATCTGTTATCTGTCACTATTAAAATAGACTAATAAAAGTAAGATCATATTTGTTTCATAAGCTACTTCAGAAACCTAAGATCTTTTTCTGATCTCCACAGGCTGCAAGCATGTATATGGTACACATATATACAGGCAGGCAAAATAGTCATATACGTGTGACACACTATCATACACTGCAGCTTCCACGGTGAGATTTGTTTTTCTTTGGCGGGGGAGGCTGCAGGGATGGAGGGCAGATATGGAGGGATGTGGGGAGATGAGTAGGACATGAGTACATGATGAGAAATTCATAGACAATCACTAAAAAGTTAAATACAATACAATAAAAATAAAATTCTTTCAAACAGTATATATTACTAGGATAAATGAACTTTTATAATCCTCAATAATATATCATTAAATATTTCTTCCTACTATTCAGGCATATATTTAAAGGTACGAAGTATTTAAAGAACGCATTCTTCTGAAACTTAAAAGAAGATAACTCCTTTTGCACTAAATCTAGTCAAATAACATGAAAGTCATGAAAACAATGTGCTATTTCCCTAACATAGAGCACTAAAATAACTAACAGCCTACAACTTATAGCAAAACACACAACACACTAATAAATGTATACTGCCTTATTTATCTAAAGTAGCATAGGTCTAGAGGTCTGAGTTCTGATACATTTGTCTTTACTACTTGACCACAGCTACTTAATCTAGTCAGACACAACGAGAAAGCAATTGTGCTTCAGAAGTAACCAAACCAAGAACAAGTTAGTCACCTGTTTACATCACAAGGGGCTGTACAGGACCCATCAAAGCTAACCTAGCTAGGTGGTGAAGTATGATTAGGACATGGGACTCTAAAGACAGACATGTATCATAATTTGAAAGGAAGAAGTTATCTGGAAAACAAGTAGAAACTTTATCAGTGGTTCTCAACCTTCCTAATACTGTGACCTTTTAATAAAGTTCCTCATGTTGTGATGACCTCCAACCATAAAACTATTTTCATTGCTACTACATAACTTTTATTTTGCTACTGTTATGAATCATAAGGTGAGTATCTGATATACAGAATATCTGCTATGGGAGCCCTGTGAAAGGGTCATTCAACCTTCTAAGGGTTGAGAAGTACTGATCATGAAACCCATTATAAAATCACTCTTTGTATTCCCACACCAAAGCTATAACTTGTGTGACATTATATATTCCTATATGCATATAATTACAGAAAAATGAGTAAAGTCATTATATGGTAATCAATTCCCATTCCAAACCACTATACCTGTCTGCCTTGATTTGGAAAGTTTATCTCCAAGTGGTTTAAGTGAAACCAAACACATTAAAAAGAGTAACTCAACAGTTGTTCTAGGTTACCTGATCCACATTCCTCCCCAAAGGCCTCTGCCCAGCACTCTCCCCTTCCCTCACCACTTCCCAACTGAACTCCCCCCCTACACACACACACACACACACACACACACACACACACACATACAACTACTTTCTTCCTGACTCTTGACCTCCTTGCATTACTCTTAGCTCCAAAGTGCCAATGAACTTCAACTTACAGGAAGTGCAGGGAATGAGAAGGAGGTTTCATTGTACTCCATGGCTCCTAACTTTACTCCCAAAGACAAACATGAAAAACTAGCAAATATTTCTCCTTTACGTCTCATATATAAACTCACTGTCATCTTTTTCTCTCGTCAACTCTAATCAAGGTTACGGGATTTGCAGAGCAACAACGTTTATAGCAAGAACTACTTTAGTCTTAGAGATTGGCTAGTCACCCTGCTTTTTGTTTGTTTTTGCTTTGAGACAGGTTGGATGGCCTGGAGCTTATTACATAAACCAAGCTGGCCTCTGAACTCACTGAAATCCATCTGGCTCTATTTTCCTGGTGCTGAGATTAAAGGTGTATGCCACCAAGCCCAGCCACTCATTCTTTGAAATCCTGGGTAGTTTTACAGCATGAAAGAAGGGGGAGATGGAAAAACCAGGAGGGGAAAGGAGCTCCATAAGACCAACAGAACCAAAAAATCTGGGCCTAGAAGGCCGTACAAAGACTGATGAATCAACCAAGGACAATTCATGGAAAGGACCTAGGTGCCCTACTCAGATGTAGCCCATGGGAAGCTCACTCTCCATAGGGGTTCCCTAATAAAGGGAGCAGAGGCTATCTCTGGTATGAACTCAGCTGCCTTCTCTTTGATCATCTCCCCCTGGCCACAGAGAAAGAGGATCCAGACAGTCCTGATGAGACTTGATAGGCTAGGGTCAGATAGTAGGGGTGGGGCAGAGTAGATGAAGAGAGAGGAAGGGTGGGACCAGAAGGAGATGAGGAAATGGGCTACAAGCTGGGATACAATGTGAATAAACTATAATAAATAATAAAAATAATTTTTTAAGTAAAAAAAAAAAAAAAAAAAAAACAGCACAGTCAAAACAACTGAGAACATAAAACTACACTTACTAACCACCAACAATTCAGTCAATATGGCCTGCTGTGTAACTCAGGCTGAATAATTATAACTCAGGGAATGAGAATAAGAAATGCTAATAATGACTCAACCTATGTTTGTAGGACCTCAGGTTGGCCTCTCTCCTCTGTCCTGACTAGTATTGCTACATAGTAACCTTTAATGGGTCAAGGATAAAGACGGAATTTTTTCACATCACTACTTAAATAAACAAAAACAACACAAGAAAAAAAAAACAGGATTTCATAATACAATTTTAAGACTGTAAGACAAAATTTAAAAAGCAGGTCAAAGTGATGAACCAAAGTAATTATAAAAATGTAAAACCTAGCTCAACATCCTCTCTAATGATCCATTATCATTCTGGAAAGAAAGATGAGTACTATTTTTTTCAGAAATGAAAAATGTCAATTATATGCATAAAGAAGAAAACATGAACTTTTATAAAACCAAGTAAGGCCAAATGTTTGGTATTTATACCTGAAAATCATCAACAAGCTCAGGGAAGAGGTGTTCATACATTTTCAGTTCTTCTATTGTTCGTCCTGGTACTTGCTGGGGTTTTAATTTGTTAATATCTGTTTCAATATCATCATTCTGAAATAATAAAACATGTCACTAGCATAAAAACACCATAAAAGTTATAAAATATACTTTATATTTGAAATGTCCCAAAATATTATTACTTATGATTAGTGAATAATCACCAACAAAATTTATATTCACTTTAATCTTAAATCAGTTCTTTTAATTAGCTATTGATTATCACTGTGTTGATTTTGTTGTTTGGTTATGGTTAATCTTAATGTAACAGAGTATTCAGGCTCATCAAGACAAAAACAAAACAAATAATAAAGACCACATATGTTCTCATCAGTATCCCTATCATTCTGTTGTGAAGTAAGATTCAAGAAAATGAAATTGAGAAGCACTTGTATATAACAAATACGGTAACAAGCAAAGCAGCTAACACTGGCTGCGCGCACTAAACTACTGTCACTCTTAAACAGAGAGGACTGTGGCTGAGGGTGGGAGTGGTGCCCACTGGTGTTAAGGAGCTCGGGAACAGGAAGGTAAAGCTAGTCAGAGGTTCCAGGAACACATCATCTGCCAGCATATGGCCTCAGCACAGACAAGCCCATCACACACTCTTGTGCTGAATGATAAACAGAGGCCCCCTTCACAAAGCCCATGCCACTGTCCACACTATTTTTGCAGGACCAAGAGAATAAGTGGTACAAGCGCCCAAAATATACCTTTAAGAAAAATGAGTAACAATGTCCTCATACAGAAAAACTGTACCATCAATCAATCCTGTCCTAAACTCTTTATTTCTGTTTTTGAGTCTCACTACATTGCCCCAGCTGTCCTCCTGAAAGGAGGGCAAGTGTCACTAAGATCACTTAATCTCCTAACTTTCGTAGATGGATAATAACACAGAGTGAGACCAACTACTAATTTTTTTCATTTTTTATTTTTTTATTAATTACACTTTATTTACTTTGTATCCCCATGTAGTTCCCTCCCTCCTCCCCTCCCAATCCCTCCTTTCCTCCTCCTTCTCCATACATGCCCCTCCCCAAGTCCACTGGTAGGGGAGGTCTTCTTTTCCTTCCTTCTGATCCTAATCTGTTAGGTCTCATCAGGAGTGGCTGCATTGCCTTCTTCTGTGGCTTGGTAATGCTGCTCCCCCCTTAGGTAGAGGTGATCAAAGAGCAGGCCAATCAGTTCATGTCAGAGACAGTCCCTGTTCCTATTACTATGGAACCCACTTGGACACTGAACTGTCATGGGCTACATCTGTGCAGGGAATCTGGGTTATCTCCATGCATGCTACTTGGTTGGAGTATCAGTCTCAGGGAAGAACCTTGTGCTCAGATTTTTTGGTTTTGTTGCTTTCCTTGTGGGGCTTCTGTCCTCTCCAGATCTTACTATTTCCCACTTTTTTCATAAGATTCCCTGCAACCTGCCCAAAGGTTGGCCATAAGTCTCAGCATCTGCTTTGATAGTCTGCAGGGCAGAGCCTTTCAGAGGCCCTCTGTGGCAGGCTCCTAACTTGTTCCCTGTTTTTTCCTTCTTCTGATGTCCATCCTCTTTGCCTTTCTCGATGGGGACTGAGCATTTTAGCCAGAGTTCTCCCTCTTGATCAGTTTCTTTAGGTATACAGATTTTAGTAGGTTTATCCTATATTATATGTCTATATGAGTGAGTATATACCGTGTGTGTCTTTCTGAAAAATATAGAATGCTTCACAAATTTGCATGTCATCCTTGCGCAGGGGCCATGCTAATCTTCTCTGTATCGTTCCAATTTTAGTATATGTGCTGCCGAAGCGAGCACCCAACTACTAATTTTTAAGTGGAGACTCATTTTTAATTTCCTATTTATCATACTATCAGAATAAACTACTTATTTTCAACCTTAAGACAAATTTATTTTACTGTGTTTAAATAATTCATCTGTAGTATCTGTCTATATATGAATATTAACTAGTATTCTTAAAGGAAAAATAAATGCTATTTCTCAACATTATATATTCAGGAATTTGCTTTTATTTATATAATGAATAAGTAGGTTTTTATTTCTATGAAGATTGGTTTTATTTACATATGTATTACTACCATGTAATTAATACTTTATGAGTATATAATTTCACTTAAGGTTTTATCCATGAACAAACAATGTATAAATTTTCTTGATTAACATCTAACCATGTAAAGTAAAAAATACTTTGCAAAGATATTTTGTAACATTGGACAGTGGTGGTGCAAGCCTTTAACCCCAGCACATAAGAGGCAGAGGCAGGTGGATTGCTTAATTCAAAGACAGCCTGGTCTACAAAGAGAATTCCCCCTGTCTGGGTGGGTCGAAGTATTTTTCCTCTCTAAGCATAAGGCTCACTGTTAGAAATGGCACTCTAGCATTAAGAAAAAGAAAAGAATCTGTTGACCTTTATGGCTACCTGGAAGTGAGTTGTTTAGAACCTAAAAAAAAAAAAAAAAAAACTCCTGGGGGAAATGACTGGTGAGGGAAAGGCAGTCTGGAAGCAACTGCCAACCACAGCAGAGCAGTACGGCTTCGCCCGTGACAGCACAGCCACTCCTGCAAGACTCTGTGGATCCAGATCTTAAAGGCTAAGAAGAGCTGACGAGATCCAACCAAGTCACAGACAGACAGCAGTGCAGGCAAGGGAGGTCTATGCAGCTCGCAGTAGTGCGCTTGAAGAGGACACATCTGTGGAGTATGCAGCAATGGTGAGGAGGTGGGCCCTCCCTCCACCACATTTCCTGGTCCCTTGCACACATGGGCCTCTGTGCCTATATCCACTGCTGTGAATATTTGATGGTTATCATACACCAAGAGCTTGGCTTGACACACAGTTAAGTGTTCAATAAATGCTATTCTTCTCTTACAACTGTTTTGTTAAGGCTAAGTAGACAATATGTGAGCAATCACTGTGAATCACTTGTCACTCGTCTCAGTAAAAACTGGACGCCAACAACTGCTTTTCAAAGACACCAATGTCAAGAGCCAAGAAATCTATGGAAATGTTTCAAGTGGATGGGCAAGTGAGAGACAACGATATGCAGAATCTAAGGCTACACCCTAAACAATTCATAAAGGGCGTTACAAGAGCAAGTAATAAGCTGGACAAAGATGGCAGGATGGTAGAAAGCGAATAGCTGTGCTACAGTTTATGGTAAAGGGCCACAGGTGACATATGGAACCCACTCTCAAATGCCTGTTTTGGAACATGTGCACACATGCACAGTTTTCCAGCAGCCTGATCAGTCACTGTTCCAACTTCCCCTACTCCCTAATCTTTATACTCTTGACCATCACAGATATTTCTAACTAGAACTGTGAGATGTGAAGAATGAACTACAGCAAACATACTTTAATCTTTATTATTAAAATCTTGTCTTTTGATAAAAACTCATAAAGATTAATGTGGAAGGTGTGGTGCTAACCGCAAGAATTTCACCAATCCCGAGTACCCTGGGGATGGGAGAACACATCTCAACACTGCTCCCCTTGCCTGAGAAGGTAATTCATAGCCAGGAACCTAGCAGTTCTGTTGCTTATGTCAGGTTCAAACACCCAGTCACCGCAGATTTTGTGTCTTGACATGAAACCTGCTCTATTTTTCTTGTGATCCCACTGGCAGCAATGAAGGTGGCTCTACATTATTATTGAGATATATCTTCAGTATTCCAGAAGAGCATAGTATTCTGAAAAGCACAGTGTGCTCAATTTAAAGGTGGTGTGCCAACCTTAAAAAGATTTATTAATTTTTCATTCCTGTACATGAGTGTTTTGCCTGCCTGCATAAATGTGTGCTGCATGTGCGCCTGATGTTCACAGAGGCCATGAGCAGTGTCAGGCCCCATGGAGATGGGGTTACAAACATTTATGAGCTGCCAAATGCCTGCTGGGAACTGAATCTGGTCCTCTGCAAAAACAGCAAGAACTCTTAACTGCTAAGCCATCAACCGTCAGCCCCAGTAGCCCAAGACATTATAAATAAATAAATAAATAAATAAATAAATAAATAAATAAATAAATA